TCTGTCAGCGCTGCTTTCAGCTTGTTTAACTCATGTGTTACCTGAGAGGTCACCTTCGCAATGTAGGGAGGGTTCGAGTCTAGTTTGATATTTTCTTCCCTTCTTTGTTTTACAAACAAGCAAACAAAAAAGTAAATTTGACAAAATTTCATTATTTGTCAATTAAAATCTTATTTAGGGTCCAAGATTATTGCATTTATTTATTTGTGTGCATGTGCCATGGTGTATGTGTGGGGGTTAGAGGACAATTTGTGGGAGTGGATTTTCGCCTTCCGCCATGTGAGTCTGGAGAACATACTAAGGTCATCAGGAATGGTGACAGGCCGCTTTACCATACACTGATTCGCTAATTTTCAGGATGAGTGTGATTATCAGAATACCTGGTCAAGCAAGGAGGATGGGGTCACGCACTCATGAGTTCACAGCAGCAATGGCCACTTGTACAGAGTTCCAGGGCAATGGGGAGGGGCCCCAGCTGAGGAGTTGCTGACAGTAACGGCTGCCAGGGAAGGAAGGAAGTACTTTTTCTCCGGTGCTGCAGCCATCAGTCCAGTGCCCATGCTTCAGAACACAACTCCACGCCCACGCTTATGCAAGTAGCCTTCATCAAACTCAGTGGATCATTAAAAAAGGACAAAATGGGAGAGGGACTTGTCCAGAGGGAGTGGGAGAGGACAAGAGAAGGAAGTTGGGTGGGGGTATGATCCAAGCACATTATATACATGTATAAAACCTTCAAAGACCAAAACTATTAAAAAGAAAATACGTGGGAGGGAGAGGGAGAGAAAGAAATTCTGAAGATAGACATTCTAGCACATTTGGTGCACAGGAGATCATTTGACAAACTCGGTGCTTTGGTATGTTTTCATATATGTATAAAAGTCCATTTTTTCCTTAATTCAGCCCCCCCTTCCACCACCCTCCAGGCAACTCTGGTGAGCTCTCTTTGCAGCTGATGTCACCCCTCCCTCAGCATCTGTCCAGCTACAACAGGGCTGCTTCCCACTGTCCCGCACTTGGGGTGCAGTTCCCATCAGGCAGGAAGCACCCTCGTCTCCTCCCTGGGCTGCTGCTGTCCTTCAGCTCCTTCTCATGGTATACTCCATCTTTGCTACTCTGTCACACTGAGGCTGCTCTACCCTGTACACTGTACTGACAACGCAGAGCACTTCTTAGACTGTTCTGGGGACAGACCAGGACTTGAGTTTTTCTGTGTTCCTCACCGCATGTCTGTCTAAAGAAGGCAGGTGTGACATCCTGTCCCTTGGTTTCTTGGGGTCACCGTTAGATGGTACCCAGTGATGTATGGCTCTACCTTCACCCTAGCTTTCTCCATGAATGCCTCTTTTGGGTATAGAAAAAGGAGCTGGGATACCATCCTTTTAATGGGTGATGAACTGGCAGAGGGGCTATGGTTCTAATCACTGAAAATAGGGTTGATTCTGAAGAACTTGGGACTCTCAAACACCAGCGAAAGTAACAGAAGCAGCAGAGATGGCCTGCATCTGTGGCTGTAGGTTAACTTGTGACAGGATGCCTTAACATACACACACTTTCCTTGAACATTTGGCTAACCAAGCCCATGTGATACAGTTCCCATTGACTAGGTTTTCTTGCAGAACTCTCACTAAAATTCCTGAACTCTATGTGTATTGTAGAAAAACAAAATTTTTACATTTTTGGGGGGTTTAGAAAGCTACTGTATTGTTTCTGTTTCTGTTTTTGTTTTTTTGAGACGGGGCTTCTTTGTGTGTTACTGTTTCTTTGATGTATTAAAGTTACATGAGTCAGGGATTAGAAAAATGGCCAGTGGCTAAGAATGTACAGCTCTCTTACAGAGGACTGGAGTTTGATTCCCAGCACACTGTAAGCACACTGTGTGGCTCACAACCACCTTTGGCCTCTGCAGACCCAACGCTCATGAGCACACACCTACACAAACAAAATGCTCAGGTGAGGATGTAGTCCAGTGGTAGACTGCTTACTTAACACGCTCAAGGGTCTGGGTTTCATCCTCAGTACTGCAAAAGCAAACACCATAGGACCCTAACGCTTAAAAAATAAAAATGTATTTAATTGAAAAATTAAGGATAAAAAGTTTAATCATGCCGGGCGGTGGTGGCACACGTCTTTAATCCCAGTACTCAGGAGGCAAAGCCAGGAGGATCTCTGTGAGTTCAAGGCCAGCCTGGTCTATAGAGAGAGATCCAGGACAGGCACCAAAACTACACGGAGAAATCCTGTCTCAAAAAAAAAGTTTCATCATATTTCAGTATGCTAATAACATTTCTGATAGTGGCCAGCACTAACGAGCTAATTGAGGTCATATGTCAATCACAACTTTCTGAACTGTAAGCCCCTACAAGTCAAGCTTTTTTTTTTTTCCTAAGACAGGGTCTCACTGGGCAGCCCTGGCTAGCTTGGAACCTGCTGTGTAGATCCTGCTGGATTCAAACTCATGGGAATCTACCAGCTCTGGGATTAAAGGTGTGCACCACCATGCCCAACCGAGAACACCTTTTCATTCTTCTCTAATAGCATGCCAAGAGTGTGCATTACAGTTAGTGGACTGTGAGAACCCTGATGGTCTGCACCTCATCAGGAACATCAAAACACAGGATTCAGGAAGCAAGTGAGAAAGAAAGAGGATGGACGGGGGGAAGGAGTGAGAGGTGGATGGAGACGGGAAGGCAGGCCTCTCGTGAGTGTGTATTACACACGAAGACTAGGAGGAGAGGTAACAGCTCCTTTGCAGTGATACCGACAACATGTTATCCTCAGCACTGTCATTCTGGGAGGATCAAGGAAAAATGACTCACGAGGGGGAAACCCTGTAGACTAATGACACATTTTCACATTCTCCTCCTCCTTTTGACATCTTTTTTCTTCTTCTCCCCAAACTGCCAAAACCAAGAAACAGCTCACCTGTCAATACTTCAGATGGCCAGAGTCCGTCTGTGAAGAGTGTGACTCACAGCTTTATCAGTCACAAAACAGAATCTGGTGTTTCTTTTTACCAGATGGATAGAGATTATCTTACTTTCTAAGCTGTCATTTCAAGGGTCTGACAAATGCCAAATTATTGAGACTTCTTCCTCATCTCTGGGATGATATTAGCCTAGGGAATTTTTTTCTTTTCTTTGAGACAGGGTTTCTCTGTGTAGCTCTGGCTGTCCTGGAACTTGCTCTGTAGACCAGGCTGGCCTTGAACTCAGTGATCTGCCTGCCTCTGCTTCAGGAGTACTGGGATCAAAGGCATGCACCACCACCACCTGGAGAGAATTTTTAAAGAAGGTAGGGCAGATGAACTCTAATGGCCAGATGCATTGCATGCCTCTAATCCTGGTGCTGGAAGGCAGAGGCAGCAGGATCATGAATTAGACCAGCCTGGGCTTTCAAAGTGAGGCCTTGTCTCTAAAAATAAAATAAGCAAATAAAAAAGAACTCTGGCTGCACATCTGGTCCTCTGCTGCCAAAACCTTAAAGAGTTAGTGAAATACAAGCCTGAGGCAAGAAGCTGCCAGGTAAAGGGGCCAACTGACCAAGTGGCAGCAGCTGAAGTTATCAGGCACACTGACCCAGGCAGGACTCAGGCAGGGGTGTGGGAGGAGCCTACTCATGGCTCTTCTGAGTTAGAGTATGGATGGACCATTTTTTTTTGTAGCAGAAGCTGAGGACAAATGGCCTGGCTGGTGTAGCCAGCTGTGGAAACCTGCCTTTCCCAGGCAGGGGGAAATTTCAAGTGTCATCACTACAATGTTTTGGACTTTAACAAAATTTGAAACATTTTTCTCATTTGAAATAATTTCAGTCGTGAAGCTTCAGAAGATCCCTAAGGAACCAGAGTTCCTTAGGCAGCTGCTGTTTTATCAAGTTGCTTCATTACCCCGGGCCAGAGCTGTGTTCCCAGCCACTGTGAGTGTAGCTTCACTGACATTCTTATCCAGCCTAGAGTCCAGGCCATCAGCTGATGAACAAAAACAGCCTTTCCCTGCAGGGTCTCTTTTCCACAACGCCAGCCCAGGCCACAGACCTCACTGAGGTGGAACAACTTCCTCATCTCCTCTAACCTGGGGCATTGGCAACATTCTTGTTTTTGAAGAATACCGGGTAGGTACTTTACAGGTCTCTCAGGTTGCACAAAATTCTGTATTTTGAGTCCCTTTCAGAGTATAAATACGCCTCTTAGTTCCATTATTGATAATGTTAATTTTGATAACTGGGTGGTGCCCAATTTCTTTATAGTTATTATTTTCCTCATGTAATTAATAAGTATCTTATCGATGGGGAAAGAGCCCAATTCTTTATATATTGATGCCTTTTCCTCGAATTGATGTTTACTATGGTAACTGCAAAATTGTGTTGTTGATTTTTTAAGAATCATAAAAGTCAAAACCACACAAAGGTGCTTTTCTCTCTGAGCAACCTTCTATTCCTCTCCCAATACCCTGTAAGAAGTCAACTTCATCCATTTCTTTTTTATTCTGTTTTGGTGATGAGGTCTTGTTATTTGACCCAAGCTGTTCTGGAACTCAAGATCCTTTTGCCTTAGCCTCCTATATACCAAGATTACAGTTATGTACTACCACACCCAGCTAAGGATGTGGTGTGTGTGTGTGTGTGTGTGTGTGTGTGTGTGTGTGTGTGTGTGTGTGTGTGTTTGAGCACGCCTGTATGCCCATGCAGAGGTCAACCTTGAGTGTCCTTCCTCAGCTGCTATCCACCTTGTTTTTTGAGACAAGAGCTCCTTCTTCTGAGACCTGAGTCTTGCCAATTAGGCTAGTCCGGATTGCCTAAGCAAGCCCTTGGTCTTCCTATCTTGGCCTTCCCAGGACTGAGATTGCCAGTGTTGGCATTTTGATACTCTGGGCCTCATGCTTCCATGACATGCACCTTACCAACTTTCTCTACAGCCCCAAACCAAGCTTTGATTTCTTGTTGGCCCAAACTGCTTCAAGTCTGCAGTGTGGATTAGACTGAGTACAGGTGTCATTGGTTACCTGCTCCTCAGAAACTTCCAGGGGAGGAGATGCTCGCTGTTCAGATCGAGGACCATCTTGATAGTTGATATTTCGTCGCTGACGTAAAGGGGGGAAAAGCCGATTCCAATTGATCATTCCTCCCTAAAAAGAGAGCAACAAAGAGTTATCAGGAAAGGAACAGAATGTTCCACATCTCACAGAGCCTCCCCACAGGCAGTCATAGCTCCAGCTGGGAATGCTGCAGCGCTCTGCAGTCCCGTGATGCAAACCCCAAATTTCCAACCCCTCAACCAAGAGGATACACCAGCCCCTGCTCTAGGCTCAGAAGAGAAGAGTGTCCTGTGCAACTGGGCACACTACATCTAACCTCAGTCTCACTGACCCTGTCCCAACAGTGGCTACGGCCACATTTTAGGAGCTCAAGGCTTTGCAGGATATAATGGAGACTCAGACATGGAAAAGGAAACAAGAAGAAAACCAAGGTTCCTCCCACAGCCATTTCAGATGCCACTGCTATCTTCTATGTCCTTACTCCTGAGCATCTCTGGAGGAGGGAGACCAAAGGTTGTAACAAAGCTACATCCAACAACAAGCTAGAGAGAGCCAAGGGTGAAAGATTCACAAGTTAGGATCAATAACTTACTGAGTATAGGCTCTGTAGATACCAAAGACAGATGACAAATCCACTTCTGGCTTCAAATCTGAAGAAAAATGCATGGCACAGTGCTTTCTAAATATGCCCATTTTTAGCTGTGTGCAGATCTTTGAATTTACTAATTTAAAAATGTCTACTTCTAGACATCTTAGAGTTCCTGAAAATGTATATACTGTGAAAGTCTGAAAATCTTCCTCCTTATAGAGACCTATAACACCTAAGGAAAATACTTAAGGAAGAAATGGAAATCCTAAGGTACCAGAAACAAGTAGACACAGAGAACCAGAGCAGAATCAAGCTGGGATGTAGCCAGCCAGTAACCCAGTCAACCAAACAAAAGGTCAAGAAATCAGAGGCAAACCTAGGCACAGAGGAAGCTACACTGTTTAATAAATAGGTCTTGGATGATGGCCAAAGACATGAAAAGTTAAAGCTAGACTTCTGTCTCAGACAATATGTGAAATATGTTCCCCAGATTAGTGACTGAAACATGGGAACTAGAGACCTTTAAGAGCTTTTAGAAGGGTACATTCATGTCATTGTGACAGGGAAAAGATTTCTCAAACAAATATATGAAAAAGATGGCTAAAAAAATCATTATTTACCAGTAAGAACTTACAAGTTCAGTTGTTGTTGACTAAAACAAAACAAAGTTGAAAGACAAACTACATATTAAAAGAAAATGTTCACAACATGTAACAGATAAGAACATTCACATATATAAAAAAACACTACTGAGAAAAACTCAAATGACAAGGGACAAGTAGTGTATATAATAGACATTTACAGTAGAGGAAGCTTCGAGTCAACAAGCCTGCTGTTGGGGAATGCAAATGAAAACGATCAGGTATCTCATACCAACACCGCCATTTGTGAGGATGACTAAAGTCAACGTGAACTCTACAGGTTGCTGGTGACAGTATTTACTAGGGATCTGGAAAGCCTTTTCCATGCTAGCCTCCAGCACCTCCCTCTCCGGGTGGTAGTGAATGCTGAAAAGGTTCTTTAGGAGAATGTTCTGTGATGCAGTGATAATGACGGAAACCCAACCCCACCTTGCCCCTCTGCCCGTAATACAGGAAAGTACTGAGAAAAGGGCTCCAGGGCTCTCAGCTCTCAGGTGTTTTCACACAGGGTTTAATATAAGCCTCTACACACAGGAAGCACCTCCCTTACACTGTCTTTTTCAAAGGCAACAGCCACACACAAAGGTGTAAGGAAAGAGCTTGCATTTTGAAAAGACATTTTATAAAATACTAGTTATTAATTGGCAAGATGATTTTTAAAGGAAGTTTCTTGTGCAAATGAACAACTGTTTTTTTTTTGTTTTTGTTTTCCTATGCTGAGCAACAGTGACTGTTTCTAGCATCTTAAGCAGAAGCTGTGTGAACAGGCATCCATGCTCTCCAGACTATAGCATGTTCTGGATGAGGTGGCTAGACCACAGGAGCACACTGGCCAGGGCACATGGGGCTCCATGGGCTGGGCACATGGCCTTATTCTGGTATTCATAGAGTTGATCATCTTCTGCAGGAAGACAAGACACCCAGAAATAGAAAAACCAAAACAGTGACTTCTGGCATTTATGAGGGAAGCCATGAGGCATACCCAAAGGGCTAGAAAAGCACTGAGTGGCCCTCGACCAAACGTGGCCAGAGCATGAATGAAGCTCAAAGCCTTGGCGCTGGGGTTAAATCAAAAGAAGAGAGTTTAACAATGGGGAAGAGCATAGGTATTTCATCAGTGTGTCAAGGACAGAGCAGGAACAAAGCCATGCCAAGAGCAGTCTCTAGAGCTAGAATGCCTGTGTTCAGACCCCAGCTCTGCCTCTGCCCGTGGGACCCTGATCATCAGTTTCCTCAAATGTACAATGGGAACAATGCCTCAGGTTCACAGGAGTATGAAGGTGTGATGAGAATGCTCTACACGTAAGCATTTAAGACAGAGCCTGAAGACAGCACAGAGCTACTCCTTAATACAGGGATCTATGACATGGCCTCTCTGCAGCTTGCTATGGACCCTGGAGGAAGGATGGATGGAGGGACTGCACCCCCTCTTCCCTGCTGTTCTGCCACCCCGATGTTACCCAGTACAGCTGGAACAACTTCCTTAGCCAAGTGGGTGCTCAGAAAGATTGAACTGGGGAGTTGTTGCTGGATCCTAACGGCCCCACTCCAGGTTGGCTCATAAGGAAGTACATATGTGCATGCCTGGGCAACTGGTTTGAGCCAATTTCCTCGACCCTATGGGCCTGTCCTACTACAAGGAGTAATAACAGGATGTTATGAATGTGATGTCTCAGAAAACTTACATGCTTCCAAAGCACCCACATTTTAATTTTTGTTTTTGTTTTTCGAGACAGGGTTTCTCTGTGTAGTTTTGCACCTTTCCTGGAACTAACTCCCTCTGTAGTCCAGGCTGGCCTCGAAGCACACGCCTTTAATCCCAGCACTCGGGAGGCAGAGGCAGGCATCCACATTCTAAAATGGTGGCCTCTGGGAAGAGCTACACCTGTCACTCTCAGTTTTTGCTGTTCAGAACATCCATTATCCATCTGCCAGGAGTGAGATACAGTGCTCACACACTGGGCCTGCTGTTCAGAACATCCATTATCCATCTGCCAGGAGTGACATACAGTGCTCACACACTGGGCCTGCTGTTCAGAACATCCATTATCCATCAGCCAGGAGTGAGATACAGTGCTCACACACTGGGCCACCTGTACTGTGCTGTCTGTGGCTGCTACTGATGGACCACTGTGCTGGAAGACTCCTAGAAAGGTCAAGAGGTTAGCACCAAAATGTAACATGAAGGGCTAGAGAGAGGCTCAGAAGCTGAGCGCTCATACCAGTCATTCTTTCAGGGGTCTGCAATTTGGTCCTCAGCACCCACATTAGGCAGCTCACTGACACCTGTAACTCAGGGGGTCAGATTCCCTCTTCTAGTCTTCCAGGACATGGACACGGGGACACACACACACACACACACGAGAGAGAGACAGAGAGAGAGAGAGAGAGAGAGAGAGAGAGAGAGAGAGAGAGAGAGAGGAAGAAGGAGGAAGAGGAGGAGGAGGAGGAAGAGGGGGAGGGAGGGAGACAGACAGATGGACATACATACATACACAAATATAAATCAAAATCAAAATAAATCTTAATATTGAAATGACTGTTCAGGGACCCAATGCTAGAGCAGAGGGGTGAGGTTGAGTTGTATGAAGCTTCCTGACCCTGCCACAGGACAAGGCTTTCCAGTGTTTCACCTCACGGCACATACAGAAGACACAGGCATGCACAGCATGGAGGAGAGCAGGAGCTGCTCACGGCCAGCCTGGCAGCTCAGGTGCCCTGAGGACCCAGGGGGTCAGTATCCCAGGCTATTTCTGACCATGGCACAACACTGGAAAGCTCTACTCCAGACCCAGGGGGAGGACACGGAGATACCAAGTGTTTCCCGTGTAGCTGCTGAGACCTTATGCAGCAATGCCAGAAAGAGACTCAGGGCAGTGCTCACTCCGCGTAAAAGCTCAGAATCCGGTGTGCAAATCACGGAGCACATGCTCCTCTGGTCGGCGGAGCCTCCTCAGCTGCGTCCCATTTGACCTCCAGCAGTGCTGGATCTGCTGGCCACTCCTCAACACAGCCTTTTCTCTGGGCTCTGGTGACATCATACGTCTGTCTTTCCAGCCCTGTGACCATGTCTTAGTGTCCTCCAGAATCTCCTTCTCATGTCCTTCAAACAATATCCCCTAAGGTTGTGAGTTTCTTTTTCGTGTTCTGTTGGCAAGCTCTTACCTATTTCCAGGGCTTTGGGCACCATGATTGTGGTGAGGATTCTGGTCTAGGTGCTGTGCCTCATCGCTATAGAACCAGATGTCCTGGAAATACCTCCACCTGAATGTTCTAAAGGTACCTCATATGGAGCACACCCCAAACCTACCTTCAGTCCTATTTTTATCCCATGTCCCAACCCGAGAGTGATGTCCACATCTGCTCACAGCATAAGCAGGTCTCCAGGCTTTGTCTTCTTCTGGTGCCATACTGCTCTGTGTCAAACTACTTTCCAAGGCAGGGGAGAGATACAAGTTCTACTGTGTCCTTCCTCTATTTAAAAGCCCTTCAATCCCCCCCATTTAAAAACACTAATGAATAACACCCACTAATTCCTAATGTTTTAAAGGTTTTTTTTCCATTTTATTTGTGTGTACATGTGCGTGCATTTGTGCACACACACCACAGCATGAATGTGAGGTCAGAGAGCATACAGGAGTAGATTTTCTTCTTCCACCATGTGGGATGTGGAGAACTGAATTCAGGTCACCAGGCTCAGTGGCAAGGGCCCGTACTTACTGAGCCATCTCACAGGTCTCAATTGCTAACATTAAAAAAAGAGAAATAACTATATTTTCTGAGTTAGAAAAAGAATTAATGAGAACAGTGGTACTGTTTTCTATGTTGCAGACCTCTTTACTATCTAACTAACAGAAAGC